CCGTCCCAAATGAAAGTTTCTTCGTGAGGTAAGTTAATGTTCTTTGTATTTTTAATGTTTGATTTATTACAAATCAACTCTTATGTCTCATTCACATTTTGTTTTTTTTCACATTTTCAAGTATTTGAAATGTTTTATGTTGTTTTTGTTCGGATATTTTTCATTTTACAGATTATTTTTGTAAACTTAGAGTAAAAAACAGTTTTGGATACAATTGTACCTAAAAAAACCTGGAACCAAAACTGTACCCGAAATATCCGAAATACTAACCTAAACCGCTCAATTCAACCCTTCATTCCAACAGAACCACCATATAATTTCAACTTGACATTCCGTAAAAACCAAAAGCTCCAAACACCAAAAGTAATATAAAAATCCTCTATATTCAAACAAAAAGCTATACTGCAAAAAAGTATTTCGATTTAGTTTTCTAAAAACTTCTTAAGAATATGCTTTTTTTCTTCTGTATAGAACAAATTTCTCCCTATTTCACCACCGTCTCAGGCTTCGTTTGGAGTATCCTCAGGCTTTGCGTTTCGTCTCTGAAACTGATCGAGTTCTTCTTGAGGGAAAACTTCAGATTGAAGAGATGGAGAAATCTTCTTAACATGAAGCCAAGTTAGTTGCCAGAAACTATCACTTCCAATATCATCACCTGGTAATAAAACCCCCGTCGTCTTCATTACCAGCAACGTGTTCTTGAGCAGTTCCGGTATGAGTTCATGGATTTTCTCGCTGCGTTTTCCTCTGAATTTGGTTGACATGTAAGTCTCCATACGGTTCAATACACCGAGCCAGAGTCTGCAGAACGATGGTTGCTGCGAAATGTCTTGAAGCGATTGTAGAAAAGCTTTTGACATTAGCTTTGTGGCGAGCACAAGCGTTTCTTCAACGGTTTTCTTGAAAGTCTTCCTTGAATTCTCTATTGAAAAATCGAGCAATTCGTCTAGCAATGGGAAGACTGCGGAATCGAAGCATTGGAACCATAGAGGTTGCGGTAACATGAGCCCGTCTGCACCTGCTATACCTCGGTGTAGCATTAAGATGGCGTGGTTTCTCACTTGGTCGCGCTGATCAAGACAAACTCTTTTGAGGTTGTTCACAAGCCTGAGCCACATTTCTCCAATATCTTGATTTAGTTTCACCATAGCTGCATCTTCACCGACCGAGTTTTTCGCCTCTTGAGACCATCTCGCAAGACAAAACACAGAGTTTGACATTAAGTCGATGGCTAAGATAGACCGATCGATTTCACCAACTCGGGATTCAGCAAACTGTCTAGCTGCATCCAAGCAGAGAATGTAGTTTGATGGTAACAAGTGTGCTCCTTCTGACATTATAAACCGGAGGGCTTCAAATCCAGCATCAGAAGCTTCTGGATGCCGAGCTGTGATTGATAGCAGAGATATGATCGTTCGCCAACCAATATGGGATCTGACGTGAGATGCATTCGCTTTTACAAGACGGGCAACTTCTTGTGTAATGGGTTCACAGTATGCATCAGCCACTCTTGCATCAAGCTTGAGAACAAGTTGGAGTGATTTCAGAAGTTCATCTGTTAGGTTTTCCTTGTAAGGTAATAATCTCTGACAAATCTTCAAGACACCAAAGACGGCTTTTTCGACAAGCGCGCATGGTGTTGACGTTGACTGAACTATACCCGAGATATGCTCATAAACAGTTTGCCAAATCAGTAGGATTCTATCTCGGTTGTTCAGAGTTACTGCAATCAGAAGCTCCAGGCAAAAGACCGCACTAGCTTCATCTTTCTCGGCTGCTTTTATGAGAGAGTTAACAAGCTTCTGCAGAGACTCTGCTTGGAGAAACTTGCTGTCTAAGAATATGCTATCAATGTGGCAATCTTTCACTATCCCACGAGCCTCCTTATAAGCTGCCAGTTCTTCCTCGGGTAGTAATGGCTTTGTCTCCTCCATGTCAAAAGACAAAAGCTGGCTAAACCGACCAATAAAGCTAGATGATTTTCGAGGCGTTGCTGACGATTGTACTTGTGATACTACTGGCAGGGATTTTGCAGAAGGTATTTCTTGCTCCAGGTTACTCGTTGACAGCTCCACGTCATCCACTGCATCACTAGCTATATGAGCTGGTAAAATCTGGAGTTTCTGGAGGCTCAAGACACATTCCAATATATTTTTCCAGCCCGAACTGATATAGTCACCATACTTATTTGCAATCACGAAAACAGCTTCAGTAGCCATCCTTGCTCTGGCATCTTCTCCTAGAGCAAGAACAGCTTCATCAACAGATAACTGGGCAAAGAAGGGCGTGAATTTGCAGAGAGACACGACCAGATCATCCAAAACACTATTCAAATGATAATATGCTGAAAGTTTTGCAATTGCCAATAACCCATCAACACATCTCTGGAAAACATCTTCTTGTTCTGCTTGCTCAAAAACCACTGATGTAGCTGCAATAGTGGGACCAAACACGATATAAAACATATCACGGTCCAAATAGGATGCAGTATCACATAGGATATAGGGACTGGTTTCTTTTGATTTGTAAATCACACTCATCCACTGACTAGCTGTCATCATTTGGAAGCCTGTTCCCTGATCTGGGATCATCTGAATTTCACTGTCACAGATTGAATGATAAAGCTCAGACAAGTACTCTCTAGGAAGATCTGCACCTCCATTTATGTTTCTGTTGTTACGGATGAAAGCTTCTTCAGTCATCTTTTTCTTGACCTGCGCGTTGTGGTGATCTGTGTTCAGCAAGATAATCGAGTAAGATAAGAGCAGAGCAGCATCTTTATCAGCCAGTATCTGTGGTGACTGCTCATGGTATCTCTCAGAAAAAGCCTCAAGCACCCTAGATATCTTCTGTGACTCCCCAGGCAATCTAAAAGTACCAACAAATAGACGCAGAGCAGCATCAAGATTCATGTTCTGGAAGTCAAACGTCTTTGCAAACTCATGAAGTACCTGAACACAGAACTGGTCATGATTTCCCAGGTAATCTCCTATAAGATTCTTATCTAATCCACATGTATACCTGAAGAAACATGCCACACTCTTTGGATCAAGTTCCTCAGGCAACAAGTGCATCCCTTGGAGATGCTGCAAGCCTTTTTTTGGATCACGGTTGAAATGCTCAGCCCCAAGCATCAGCTTTTTCTTTATGTGTTTTGCCTTTCGGACAAAGGGAACCCACAAATTAGGATCTCCGTAATTCTCACATCTCACAGTCCAGAAGTCCTCATATCCTTCTTCAAGTGCAGGAACATCTGAAGCCGACAATTCCTCCCCCACCCTTTCAGCCATTCCCTGAACCATGGATATCAGCCCATCCAATGCAAGTATATGCATAGCGGATAAAGGGCCATTAACTGGGAATGCACTCTTTGATAGTAGGTTTGAAACATCTTCGAACACATTACTGCAGGTTATATCACAGTCAAAATTTGCAAACACTTCAGCCATGAAAGTACGTTGTCTGCAAAGATCAACCAGAGCTTCCATAGCAACCTCCTGTTGCTGGTAAGAAGAGCCATGTTTGCTCTGTGCTATCCTCAGAAGTACACATGAAAGGAAAGATTCAAGCTGCACCTTAAGCTCAGTACGGAGACTCAAGTAGAGATTAAGAACGATGCTGCAAACTGTAGAAAGAATCAGAGGGCTCATGGACACACCAAACTGCATTAAGTTACCGAATAACTCATCCTGAATCAAAGTCAACAACTTTGGGTGCTCACGGAAAGAAGGCCCTCCAAGTTCTATAGCAGAGTTAATTAAACCCAGAGCGAAAAGAGGAACGTCTTCATCAAATGCTATAGGGTTGGATCTGGAATTGACTTCACCGTTTTCTCCAACATTCAACAAGGTACATAAGAAATGAAAAATCTCTACCATACATGGAATACCAAAAGGCGCCATCATTGAATTTTCACCATTTGCAGCAACATTCAAGTCATCACTGCCCTCAGTTCTCTTCTCATCACTGACCTCAGTTTTTGTTTCTTCATTCTTAATTTGTGTTTCTGGAATAACTATTTCAGAAATTGGAGAATCTTTGTCAGTGCCGAGAGTATCAGATACGCTACCAAGATTTCCATTTTCAACTTTGTTTTCTCCCGAATTCTGATCCCAGTCCACTGTTCCCACCTAGACAAGAAATAACACCGTTAAGAAATTTGTGAGCAACAGTCAGTCTGACAAGATGGTCAATACAATTCACCTTAAAACTTAGTCATCTGCATAAGTTTCAACCAACATGCTTAGCAAATAAATCATAACACGATACAATTTTATGCATGCATTGAAGCATGTTAAATATTCTTATCTATAAGGGATAAACAAGTAGAACAAACATAAAAATGCTGGCATGAAAATTTCATTTGATTTACCTTATCACCGACATGTAATTCACTTTCATTAGGCAGCGGGCTGATATAAGGAAGTTGAGAGAAGATACATCTAACCAACTCATGCATCGTGTGGCGCGCTATACGCTGCAACAATTCACTTTTGGAGCTTGATTGATGAACAACACGCAAACAAGTGTTGACAATGGTGCAAATGTCTTGATTGCTCAATCCATTAGAGGCTTTACTCTTTATGCAAGCCAGAAGAACTTGAAGTATCTTCATCAGAACCACTTCCTCAGAGGCTGGATCAGTTACCTCGAAACGACAGCTCTTAACTGCATCAACTATGATATGCATCGCCTCTCCCACATTCACAGTTTCAAGTGTAAAAATGTCAAGGGTCAAGATCTTGTAGACAGATGACAAAGCAACGCCAGTGATTGGAGCTCCGGTTTCATCAGATAGTATAACATCCAAAAAGGGCTGTATGTACAATTTTGGGTCAACACTTTCCCAATTGCTTTGCCATGAGAATATCTGCTTACGCAATTCTTTCAAAGAATGAATAAGAGAATGCTCTAACTGATCATCATCCGCAATATAGCGAACACCCCACCGCACATTTCTCCTCATCACAGCCAAAACTGCACCAATTTCAGAATTGATCATGGACGCCACAGCACCCTTGGACAGTTTGGAGTGAAAACTCTTGTACTCTCCATGGAACGAGTTGCTTCCCGAAGGATGATTTTGGTACCCCATACTCGTCCCACCTTCTTGGCTCAACCACCAAAACACACACCAAGCATGCAGGCTGCAAATAGTTCAAACCTTTCATGCTTAGAAACAGTGTCAAAACAAATTTATCGAATCAGCGTATCAATACTAATCTGAAAAATAATTTTATTTCGCCACATTGGGAAATACACAGAAACTCTTCCGATCTATGCAATCATTGCATAACATAAAACAGAAAAAAAATCCGTAGAATTCAGATCTAGCTGAGCTCCTTGAGGACATTAAAGAGAACCCATTGGAAAATAGCAAATCAGAAATACCACGAAAACTCAGAGAACAATCTGAAATCGGAAAGCTTAGAATGAAGTGGATCGAGAGAAGTTCAGTGTACCTGGCTGCAGATCACGAACGAACGAGACACAGAGTCACGGCCAATAATGGCGGAATTTGAAGGAGCGAGATCGGGATCGGAAAAATATAAATCCGAATTTCGCCCAGCTTCTACTCTCGAAAAGCGAAGAGAGACAAAATGATGAACTGTAATAGACAATGGTGAAAAGCGAAGAAAGCTCCCAATGGTGAAAAGCGAAGAGCCGATGCGGTAGAGTGAGAGCTTGCTCTCCTCAAACTCAATTGAGATCAGATCCTTGTTCCTCCTAAATCACCAGAAACATATGGAACGTGGATCGTTCCTGTGGTTGGCTCTGTGAAGTGTGACGACGATGGAGATCGGAGAAGCGTCGGATGTGTTCTCTGAGAGAGATGATCGAAGAGAAGGTTGTGAAAGCTGAAAGCGGAAACTCTAAAATGGGCCGAGGCTTGGGCTAGTCATGGGCTTATCGAGTGTATAGAGTTGAGCAAAGAATTAGATCTCTATGCATTTATGAAAAGTTGGTGACTCTAGACGTAGCTAACTTATTTATAATTTATACTGTGAAGATATGTATTTTTTTTTTTTTATTATTGACTTGAGATTTTTGTTGTTAATTTCCTTTGTTAACATAAAAACTGGTAAAAGTATAACTATTTTAATATATATATATATAATTCGAAAAATGTAAGAAACAACTGAGAATTTTTTTTTATTACCAAATAATTGAGAAATTCGAACGTTAAATTACATTTTATTGTTAAGACAAAATGAACAAATAACACCGTTAACGATCAAAGATAAAATGTCTTGTCCGAATTGTTTACACAATTATGTACATTTATAACTCAAGTTTCAAATCTGAAAAATCACAAATATATTGTGCGTAGTTACAAGTAAAATCTGGTAAAGATATATAAATATATAAAATTTGAGTTTATTTATCAAATAAATGAGAAACTCGAGTGTTAAATTTATATTTTATTGTTAAGACAAAACAAAAAAATGACACCGCTAATGATCAAAGACAACGGTCAAAGACAAGATATCATGTCTGAATTGTTTACACAATTATGTAAATTTATCACTCAAGTTTCAAAAACCAAAAACCAAAAATATATAGTGTGTGGTTAAAAAATAAAATCCGGAAAAAATATAAATATATTTAATATTTGGGTTTAAAAAACCAATTGGAGAGAGAAAATGTTTTATTATCAAATAAATGAGAAATTCGAGTATTAACTTTACTTTATATTGTTAAGGCAAAACGAACAAATTTCACCGCTAACAGTCAAAGACAACGGTCAATGACAGGATGTCATGTCTGAATTGCTTTCACAATTTATGTAAACTTTATCACTCAAATTTCAAATTAGAAAAATATATGTTGAATAAAAAATTTATCAAAGTAAAAATAATATTTATGTAATAGATTTAGAAAAAAACGAGAAAATAATTCTCACCATGGCTCTAGATATGCTCCAGACTTATCACATTCGTCCTTGCAATTCCTTCTTGTATCTTCCGGCTCTTTATTACGCTTAAGTTGCAGATAAAAACGAATAAGATGAAAGTCATAATTGTATTTAGCTTAATCTCTGTCTAAATCTTTGATTTGATAAACGAATAAAAAAAACTGATCGACAAGACAAAACCAGCTCCATGATGCAAGAGAAATAAGTTCATGAGACGATTGAAAAAAAAAACAGATTAATGTTTAAGTAGCATAACTCTGTCTTAATTAAGTTTATCATGATTAATGAAGCAGATTAAAATGTTTATCACCTCTGCTTGATAGTAGCCATAGAGAGATCACATATGCGTAATACCGATTTTAGAAAGAAAGTGATTTTTGCAGATAGATTTGAGGTATTTTTTTTAAAAAAAGAATGATTTTATGTAATTGTTTTTGTAATTAAACTAATGATTTCACAACGGTAATAAATAAAAAAAAGTTACCGTTGCTTAGTAACATTCATATTTTTCTTAATCCTCTCACCTTAACCTTTGATCGTGACGTCATAAAATTTAAAAACGTGCTTCCATCACAAAGCACGTCAGCAGAAATAATCAAAGAGAAATTCTGCGATAAACATTTCCAACTTTGTAAACATTTGCAAAGATTATTGAAGATATCAAATGTTAAAATGTAACTTTAAAGAATAAACATTTCCACTTGATACAAATTTTTTGTTTTTTTTGGTCAAAGTCCACTGATACAAAGTTATAGAAAACAATCGAGCCACTCGTCATCTACAACTTTTTCGTCTCCATTTTTGTTCTGCAATCCTCAACGATCGTGTTCTGCTTTTTGATTCTGTAGAAAAACCCAATAAACTCGTTTTTATTTCGATGGTTGATTGAAAAAGTTTTCTTCTTTTGTAATTGATTGTTAAAAAAGTTTGGCTTTTTCTAAAAAAAAGAGAATCATCCCAAAACTCCAAAGTCTGCAGTTTCGATCTTCAAAGTCTGAATCCGGTAAGGCCTTTGCTAGTTGACCGTCAAATTTGATAGCTTTTGGAATCTGTAATACATGATGATCGGAGATTTGAAATCGGAATCTTCTGGTGCTTGCTTGCTTCTGTCTGTACCAGAAGATGTGTTTGCAGTTATCTCTCGTTCTCTTTCTCCAAGTGACATTTGCAATCTAACCTTATGCTGCAAAAGTCTCTGTGACCTTGTTGATTCAGAAAAGATCTGGCTTTTGCAATGTGAAGTACTAAAGGTTCTTCCTTTATCTGAATTAGTCCAATGGCGAGTCGGGATCTCTTCTTACAAGGCGCTTTGTCGGTTTCTTGTAGAGGTTATGAAGCCTCTTGTTGGGATTTGGGTTCACCAAAACCCTGAACTTGGGAATGTTGTTTATGTCATGCCTGGTTTCTTGTCTGTTGTTGGTTGCCGGATAATTCCACAAGAGGTTGGTCCTTTGGGGATCGAGGAGGGTCGGGTTATGTGGTCACCTGTGTTTGAGATTATCTGCGGTTTCGATGGCTCTACCGGGTTTTTCCTCCATGGAAGAGACAGAGAAGGTAGTTGCCTGTACCCTGGTTTTGTAACGGGCATCGAGAAGAGTTGCAATGTGCTTTTACTCGAGGTTGTGCCGAGGGGAGAGAAGAAAGAAGGCTCGAGAGATGTTCCATTTTGGAAGCTTGATTTTAGCGACAGAAGAAAGTTACTCGATATAGTGACTAGCCGTGTAGGTCTACATGTAGTTGAACCATTAAGTGGAAGGTTATTTCCCTGTTTAAATGATGATGAAGCGATGTTGTTGGAACGCAGAACCATGCTTCTTAAAATGCATAAGTTTGGTGGCAATTGGAAGCACAAGAACTTGGAGGAGGAGCAGTTGTGTTACAATCCTTTGCAGGTAGACATAAACGAGATGTGGAAAAATCTCGATGATGACATAGATGACAGCAGTGAGATTAAACTTTCGAATCGCCAAAGCTTTCTTAACTCTGGTGATACATTCGGTATTGGTCTCAAAGCTTCCTACAATGAGATGTCTTCTTACCAAGGGTGGCCAATCATGCCCGAAGAGCGTTTTGCCCTTTATAAACTACCGATTAAGAATCCTCTCGATAACCAACTCTATGCTGGTTTGTGGGGAGCAACATTTGGCTGGCCACCTGGAAAATGTATAGAAGATAAACCCGATAAGGCTCTTTATTTACTGATGCTCACATATAAAGAATCTCAAGAGAATAGTGATGAGAGACTTCTTATCGGGACAAAAATACTCGAAGGCACTCACTATGTGGACCATCCCAATGGATCAGCAATGTTTGTTGCGAATATCAAGTCGCCTTCCCTTGAGCCATTTCCGTTTGATGCAGATGGAAAAAACTTTGAGCATTCTTACACGGGAGAAGGTATCGCAGATGGTTACGGATTCCGCTATCCTGGTTCAAAACCTGGTTCCCTTTTCGTGATATCTAATGATCTTCTCGCATTCGTTTGGCAAGAAACTAAAGATGTGTTGACATTGCAAAGACTAAACCTTGAAGAGATCTTGAAGAAAGGTTTAGGTTCGTGTCTACCGCCTTTGCGTCCAACTAAGAATTTTACTTACTTGGAAAGGTCTTACATAAACGTGTTTACCAACTCATCGAGCTATTCGTCTTCCTCCGAGTAAAGATCATCATTGATTGGAAATGGAACACCACAGTTCTTGTCTTGTTTTTGAGATACGATCTCATCATGATTGATTATGTATTGTGATAAATAACCTTTGCTTCTTACATTTACACTTGCTATGCCTGTGTGTCTAAAATAAGTATTGAAAAGGAAAAAACACTAACTTTGAGTAACTCTCCTTGTATAATGATTTTTTATTTGTGTAATATTTGCTCTAGCTTAAGGCTGATATAATAATTCAAAACTGAAAAATGTTCAAAAATCTAGTTTCTTTAGCAATACAAGGTTTTTATATAGACACACGTTACAAGCATAAATTGAGTATAAAATCTTAATCGTCTACGTTATGGTTTTGCCATTCAATAATGAGATTATAATGGAAACCAGAGAAGACTTGTGTGCTTCAAAACTGTTGCAGAAACCTCCTATCAAGTTTTCCGGCCCGAGGCAAACACATTGGTGTGAGATTTTGTCAAATACGTAAAATTCAGACTTGGAGGCAAAGGCGGTACGAACAAGCCTTTCTTCAAGAGCTCTTCAAGGTTTAGTCTTTGCAATGTCAAGACAACTTTAGTTTCTTTCCAAACAAACATAAGAAGACCTTTAGATGTTATGAAAAGGGAACCTGGTTTGTATCCAGGATACCGGAAACCATAACCCTTTGCAATACCTTCTCCTGTGTAAGACTGCTCGAAATCTTCTCCATTTGTATCAAAAGGAAAGAGCTCAAAGGTAGGCGAATCAATATTTACAACAAACATTGCTGATCCATTAGGATGCATCACATAGTGAGTGCCTTCAAGTATTTTCGTTCCGATAAGAAGCCTCTCACTATCAACTTGAGATTTTTCGTAAGTGAGCATCAGTAAGAAAAGAGCCTTGCCGGGTTTATCTTCGGTGCATTTCCCAGGTGGCCACCCAAAAGTTCCTCCCCACAAACCAGCATACTCTTGGCTATCGACGGGATTCTTAATTGGTAGCTTATAGAGAGCAAAATGGGTTTCGTGCATGTTTGGCCAACCTCGGTAAGAAGACAGCTTAGTCTTTGAAGCTTTAATACTAAGACCTACCGAATCACCAGAGCTAAGAAAGCTTTGGAGATTCAAACGTTTAATCTCACTGCTCGAAGATGTGTTCTTCGATGAACTAGACCTCCCTAGAATATGCTTCATGCGACTTCTGAAATACTTACTAAAGCTCTTCCTTTGTGTGCCCTGTATCTGATTCTCATCGTCATAGCCGAGATTCTTCCACATGTCGTTTATGTCTACTTGAATTGGAATGCTACACAACTCATCCTCCAGATTCATGTGATCCCAATTCCCACCAAACTTGTGCATTTTAAGCAGCATAGTTCTACGTTCCAACAACATTGCTTTATCATCTTTCGACCTCTGAAACAACTTTCCATTTGATAGCTCAGGTACAGTTAAACCTACACGGCCCGTCACTAAATCAAGTAACTTTCTTCTATCACTAAACGCTAACTTACAAAATGAGAACCGAACCTCTTTCTTTCCCAACAACGCACTCTCAATCTCACTGCACAAATTCTTCTCTCGCCTCGGCTCAACCTCGAGTAAAAGCACATTGCAACTCTTCTCAATCCCCATAACGAAACCAGGGTACAAACAACTGCCATCTCTGTCTCTTCCATGGAGGAAAAACCCGGTAGAGCCATCAAAACAGCAGATAATCTCAAACACAGGTGACCACATAACCCGACCCTCCTCGATCCCCAAAGGACCAACCTCTTGCGGAATTATCCGGCAACCAACAACGGATAAAAAACCAGGCATGACATAAACAACATTCCCAAGTTCAGGGTTTTGGTGTACCCAAATTCCAACAAGAGGCTTCATAACCTCGACAAGAAACCGACAAAGCGCCTTGTAAGAAGAGATCCCGATTCGCCATTGGAGTATTTCATATAAAGGAAGAACCTTTACTACTTCACATTGCACAAGCCAGATCTTCTCTGAATCAACAAGGTCACAGAGACTTTTGCAGCTTAAGCTTAGATTAAAAATATCGTTCGGAGAAAGAAATCGAGAGATAACACCAAATACATCTTCAGGAAGTAACAGTAGCAAGCAAGCACCTGATGATTCCGATTCCAAATCGCTGATCTTCATCTATAACAAATCCAGTTTCGCTACTAAACCCAGAAATTGATTCCACTAACAGATCGTGTTCAACAATGATAATCTATGGATTTGAAGATCTTACCGGATTCAGATCGAAACTGAGCCTTCAAAAGGATTCTCTTTTAGAAATACCCAAGTCTGGGTTTTGAATCTGATTGTTTTTTATGTGTACAAGAATCGAACTTTGGAATCACACATCAAAAAGATCAAGAATTTGCATAGTTTATGATATTTATAGAAGAGAGAACGAGGAAATCGCAATATACGAAGACGATGTAAGAAGTATCATTTTCCGTTGACTATACAACTGTTAAAGTCTTCTTCTTCGTACTTCTTTCGTTAAATTATAAAATACTAATTCTTTTTTAGTCTTTTTAATTCTTTCACTAGAGATAGATTTTTAATTCTTTCACTAAATAACAACGGAGGTTTAGTTGGATAATCTAAAAAATTATGTAATTTGAAAACTAACCCATTCAATATTTTGAAAACAAACTTTTTTTAAAGTAAAAGACAATAATATTTCCATAAAATTTGATAATTTATAATTACAAAAACTATAATTTAAAACAAAATTGAATAAATTGTAGACAATTACTACTTTAAATGTAGCCAAACTACACCAACTAAATAGCCATTTTTTGTTGTTGCTTTAATTAACTGCAAAAGATTAAAAGATAATATAAACAGAAAATCGAATTTCAATCAAACTTGTAAAAAAATAATTTTATAGCAAAATATAACAATGTTATACAACTTGAGATAGTATTGTATAACTTCCTCTTAACATAACATAAGAAATTTTTTTATACTAAATCGTTAAAATAAATTTTTCAATCAATTATTATAGTGCAAAATATAAGAACTTTGGTTGGCAAAATAAATTGCCAAATTAATTTTCCTATAATCAACTATTTATGAGTAACTAAATCAAATGAACTAAACATTATATAACTTGAATGCGAACCATAAATTTTATGCAATTCACCATTCTTAATTTTTTCACATATGTAATTTTTTATGGTTGTATATTTTATGTATAATCTACATTTTTTACTTTTTGATCAATCACGTGACATAATTTTTTAATTTTGTAAATTATTTTATAATAGAATTAATTACCCAATGATAACACAACTTGATTTTAAAAAACACTTTATATATTTGATAATCTTAATTGCCAATAAAGTTAGTTTTCAAATTTTTAGAAACATGGGTTAGCTTTCAAAATACACAAATTTTTTGTAATATTTTTACAAATTTCCTCAAATAACAAAGCATTACAATAAGATGTAAAAAAACTTAGTAATATCGACTTAGTTTCTTAAGTATTTTTAATGTACATAATAAATAGAAATAGAGAAGCTATTTTTATTATTTTGTTTGCGATGTAACGGAACGAGAATATTGTTAAAAAAATCAATCTCTGAAACTTTTGTTATAAAATTGGTGCTATAAATAGAGAAGCTATTATTAATATTTTTTTGCGATGCAATGAGAAAATTGTTAAAATCAATCTATGAATTTTTTTTTTCATAATAAAATTGGTGTTATAGATAGAGAAAACATTGTTAAAAGTCACATGCATTTTGGAAAAAAAAATCATGCAAATAGACAATACAATTTTTTGTTTTTGATAATCCTAAAAAGATCACTTAATCCAAATCCACAGAAAATAAAAAGCAGAGAAAATAGAACTGAATTCCAAACATTAAAGCATAAAATATCTAAAAATATTGAGCTTCACATCACACCTAGCTCGGTGAGAAAGGCGACACATAGATCTAAGAAGATAAATTGAGGTCCATCTACTCTCTGAATGTCCAACAAGTACTTGCCTTCACTTACTTTGTATAGCTATAACAAAACAAAAACAAAATGATTCAGATCATTTTTCAATATAACTATACTTATGATTTTAGCAACAAAAAGAAAAAACTATACTTATGAAGAAGAAAATCATGTTATATGCAATGTTGTATATTCATCATAGTCCGAACAAAGCAAATTTAATTGGTTTTGGTTCTAGTTCTACTTTTAAGATAATTCTTCTCTTCTTAGAACTATTAATTCTAGTGTATTAATAAATTAATTATCTGCATATACCTGAAGTTCAAATTTGATGACGGTTGGTGAGATTATGGCACATTCATCATCCTCAATCATGTTATCTTCGGAGATATTATTGTTATGAATTCGAACCCATCTGCATTTTATGTTGTAGTCTCCAATCTTCTTCCAAAACACTTTAAGATTTTGAAGAGCCTTGAAAACATCATTCATGATTTCACGAGGATGCGCTTGAGACTGTCAAAATAACAAGAACAAAACTTGATCCACCTTAATC